CTAAACACTTCTGTAAGTTGGCAAATACAAACACAGGAAGTGATGGCAAGAGAAACACCACCAAACAGCATTAGAAGTCCTGGTAAAGGTGTCCGTCTCTTACTGATTATTTGATGACATATTTCCAAACCGGTAGAGCCACAACTGACGCCCTGCGTTCTAGAAAAAAAAAAATGATACAGGTGAGATTGATGGTCTTTGCTGACTCTGCATAAGGAGAAAGATCACAACCATGAGGATTCTCTCTATGGCTTCCTATATGTTTTCACACAAAACAGGGAGCATAGTAACTATATACAGCAGCTGTTTACAGGATGTATCGCATAACAAAGGCCCCACGGACGCATTGATGTCGGAGAGCCTTCACGTCTAGCCTGGATGACCCTTGTTACAATTCTTTCTCAGAAAGTCAGACTGTAAAGACAGGACCTTGAACCTACACTAACTTTTTCCCCCGCCTGTGCTGAGCATTCCTTTGCTCTGCTGACTGTGTGCAGAAGTCAGCCTGCAGCTGTGAGGAGAGACTGAATACTTATGTGATGTTATGTTGCATAGAAGTAAAGAACTACTTTATAAATTTCCCATTACAGCCTGTAATGCTGATTGCCAACTTTTTAGCTCTATCAACAAAAGAAAAGATCGATCTTGTTTTTATAAGTTTATTCGAACAGGATTTGAAGGAAGAACATGTGCCCTGACTTGAGGCCTATAAGATTGTATAACGTTTGAAGTACTAAATTCTACATCTGGGCAGCTGAGATGAAGGGAGTTGCTGGTAGGTCAGATCAACTGAGGGTCAGTTTACTTTAGGCAAATTCTTTCATTCGGTTAAAATCTTTATATATTAAGGCTGAAACAATTAATCGTATTATCATATATCCATTATTGAAATAATCATCAACTTATTTAGTAATCTATTAATTGTCTACTGGAGTATAGAGCCTGTAAAACATACCTTTAGCTGACAGAGGAACCTACTTCAGAGCAGTAATTATATAAAAATAGTAAATAAAATACTTAAACATTTTTCATTTAAGATTTAAAAAGTGTTTTATTTCATCAATATGCTCTATTCAGTACTCCTCAAGTGGAAAAAGTTTTAGTTTCACCTTGTTTTAGTCTGTAAAAAATGTTCTTTAACGAACCTTTTGCTATCTGATTATTAATCGAAGAAATAATTAACTGAATAATTGACTTGCAAATTAATAGTTAGTCACAACCCTAACCTGCTCATGTTCTAAATTATCGATTAATTCCTTCTTCTGAGCTTTTGACTTGATACTCAGCTTCTTGTGTTAGAAGGGTGGTAAAATATATTGGATGTTTGTTGTTTTCCCAAGATCAGTGTGCGTAATATCAATATTCTTTAATATTAATTTAGATAATCTCTGTTGTTTTTCTGATAGATGACTTTGATCAGATTATCAGCAGGGCTCTCGGAGTTGGAGTTGAAAAGGTTTGTTTGCTATTTATCACTTTGATGGAGGATATTGTGCATTTGGGTCCATGTTCATATTACTCCCCAGAATTAAGATTAATCTCATGTCTTTTTTCAGTAATAATAATCTTTTCTTGTGTTGCAGTTTATGATCACAGGAGGAAGCCTTGAAGATAGCAAGGAAGCTGTCAAACTGGCTGAGACCCGAGGTAACAACTATAAAAGAGTGTGTAAAGTTACAAACATTTAAAAAAAATCCCAATACGCCTGTTTTTATATTAATTATTCAGTTAGGTTAGAATCAGCCCTGTTGTTGTGATTATTTTTCAAATGTTGGGTCTGTATATAAAAGCAGTTCCCTTTTCATTGCAGGTGAGTTTTATTCCACAGTTGGTTGCCATCCGACTCGCTGCAGTGAGTTTGAGCAAACTGGAGAATCCCAGTACCTGTCGGGGCTGAAGGAGCTGGCAGCGGCACACAGAGGAAAGGTGGTGGCCATTGGAGAGTGTGGCCTAGGTGGGTCTAATTGGATGTTGAATTTATCACTCTTTTTTTTTTTCTTCCCATTAAAAGTCTCCTTTTATTTTCTTTGTTTAAGAAACCTACGTGTGGGTTCCTCAAGCAGATCACAGCTGACCTTTTTTGTTTCTTATTTTTGCCTTTTTTCTTGTTCCAGATTTTGATAGGTTGGAGTTTTGCCCGAAAGAGACTCAACTAAAGTAGGTTTTTTATGATATTTAAGTATTGCAACATATCGAATATAAAACGTGTGCATACTGCCAACAATTTTATTTTTTTCTATGTAAGAATTTAGCCACAAATTAGCACTTGCTTCAAATAACCTTATAGAAAAGTGAAAGATTGCTGTTTTCATAACTAAAACATATATCCTGGCTCTAGAAAAACTGATGTGTTTTGTTTATTTTCTCTCTATTCTTTTGCAGATACTTTGAGAAGCAGTTTGACTTGGCTGAGGAGACCAAGCTGCCCATGTTCCTCCACTGCAGAAACTCCCATCAGGAATTCATTGGTATTTATTTGCAGAAAACGAGTTTCACACCAGGCACTGATCTTACTAAAGAAAAAAATAACATACTTTTTTTTTTTTTTAAATAGAAATCATGAAGAGAAATCGAGACCGATGTCCCGGAGGAGTGGTGAGAAAACAGCTGATTTTCATCAATTTTTTTTTCTTTACCTCTATAAATACATAACTGATCACAGTTTGATTAGATTTAGCTTGAAGCATATTCTTTAGTCATTTGGTGATTTTTTTTCATCATTATTTCTGTAAAACTTTAAATCTGGTTGGTTGATAAGAATCACAGATAATTGGTTCAGGTTTTCTCCTACAGGTCCACTCGTTCGATGGGACAGCGGAGGATGCTGCTGCACTCGTTGACCTGGACCTTTATATCGGAATAAATGGATGGTCAGTAGATCTTCTAAAATTTAAAATTCAATATTTGAATTTCACTCCATCTGACTGCTAATTAGAATCACTTCTCATCCTTAGTCAGATAATATAGTATAATTTCAGCCATAACTACAGAAAGAATATGTTGTTTTAAATCTTTTTTAGCTTTCATTTGTAGTTTAATGAAAGGAACTGTCATAGTACCGTATGTTAAAAAAAGTATTAATAGCATGATGCGAAAAAGAACATTCTTACTTATTATAATTGATTAATCACACGTCTTAAGTAGGAAATAGAAATAAAAAGGTTTTATAAATAATCTATAATAAAAACCAAGCGTGGGGAGTTTTTCTTCTAGGCGTATTGTACAAACAATGTTGTTGTTTATTCTGTAAGCTATTGACAATATTCCAATTTCTCAGCTCTTTGAAAACAGAGGCCAATATTGAAGCTATGAAGTCTATCCCCACTGAGCGGCTCATGATTGAAACCGGTGAGACAACTGCTATGCTTACATGTACTGTATTATATATACAGCCATATTTGATGAGTTTGAGTATTACAGAAAAGATCAATTATATCAGGAACTCGATTTATGGCATGAAGCACATTACGACAATCTGGTGCACAGAAATTGAGGCTTTCAAGTTTTTATTTCAGTAAATTATGACTATTTTTCATTTAAGGACAATAAACTCATGACGTTTAAGAATAGAATATTATATCACACTTGAAGGCAATTAAAATAAGGTGTGATACATTTTTAACAATGCCTTTATTACTTTTTAATTTGTATTTCTTCCTTTGCTGTTTGCATCTTATTTTTATTTTGTCCATTCTTAGACCTAATTAAGCAATAGTATGATGACTTTACTTCATTACTTTATAAAAGTTCTTATATTTATAGTTATTAATAGTTCATAATAGTTCTTATGGATCTTTTTTGGTGTTTCTCCTTCAGATGCTCCATGGTGCGGTGTGAAAAACACTCACGCTGGCTCTAAATATGTTAAAACTACGTTTCCCACAAAGAAGAAATGGGAAGCAGGACACTGCCTGAAGGATCGAAATGAGCCCTGTCACATCATGTGAGTTTCTTCTTGGGGTAATTAGAGGGTAAAACTGAAGTTGGCTTGATATGAAATGTTTGTCTTTTTCAGACAAGTTTTAGAGGTGATGGCAGCTGCGAGGGAGGAGGATCCAGTGGAGTTAGCCAACTCAATTTACAACAACACCATCAAAGTGTTTTTCAGCTCCAGCTGATAATAAAAACACGTACAGATGTGCTCTGATATGAATTTGTGTTTATTTTGTGCCTAAATAAATGTATGAGTTAAAAATCTCCATTTTCTAAAAGGAAATATTCTGATGTCTCCTAATCTTCTGATTGCAGCAGTAAAAAAAAAAAAAAAAAAAACCCTTTTGCATTGATGCCTCTATAAGGCAGACAGGGGAAACGTTTAAAGCAATGGTTTATACAAGGACATGAATATCCATATTGATGGAAATATTTATTTATGTGCTATTTTTTGTTTTCCTAGTTTCCCTTTTTGGTTGTCCTGCTATCAAATGGAACCATCAGAACAAACAGTGGAGATCGTAGAAATAAACAAATGAACAGATAGAAAACATATACATGTTTAATTCTGAACAAATGTATAAGTGTTTATGATTTTAATATCTTTTCTTTCTGTTTCTCGGGTCGTTAGCGCTGAAATAAAACTAATCAGAAAAAGCAGAGTTGCCAAGTAGTTAAAACATTACATTTATTTTGGTGATTAGATGATAAATACAGACAACCAAGCTTAATTTACATGAAAAAATTGGGAATATATCATTTTAAATTAAACAAATAGAACTTGTACTGGAAGACTATCCTTTATTTTCCTGTTTTAATCATGTGAGCTGCTTTTAGAGTATAAAACTTTGTTTCTGCATCGTATTCAATTATAAACTGCAGGATCCTACTATATCAGGTATGGAAAAAATATGTTTACGTTACAGGTTAGAACGTTTTATTTGCAGCAAAACAAATTTTGTGTTACTAGAAAACTAAAAATATTTGTTATGGCCAATCAATTTAAATTCAGCATAATCTTTTAGGTTTAGCTGATATATTTTAAATGTCTGACTTTAGAAAAAAAAAAAAAGCATAATCTTTGATATGCCAACCAGCCTTCAGATATCAAACATTGGACAGATGCATGGGAACATCTGTAAGATATATTTTATAATCTCTGCATTATTAGGTTATTTCTAGAAGAAATCTTTGAATTTAGTTTCCTAAAATGCCAACGCATTAACCCCAGCTTTCATTCCTACAACATTCAATGCTGATTAGAGATGATTACGAAAATTGGAAGACAAAGTGTAGACCTTTTGGACATTTTAAATTGAATGCTCCTTTATTCAAAATATATTGATCCATTTAACCCTGTAATGCCAAATGTATCATATTTGATACATACGGTTTCTAAAATGTTTTGGGTCTGACACCTTTTGCATAATTTAATGGTAAAAACTTTGCTCAAAATCCTATCGTACACAATCAGATATACCTGATAACAGAGGGCAGAAGACTAAACAAAAAATTATTTTGACTTATCGCATAGTAATAAATTATTAATATCAAAAATGTATTTCTGTTTTTTCTTTTTAACATATTTTGTTAAGAGGGCAAATAAGGACTTCAAACCAAAAAAAAGTAATTTTCTGTTTTGTTTTATTCTTGGATCGGGCTTTAAAGGGTTAAAATAGCTTTGCAGGAATATAATAGTGCCTTGATGTGAAATGGTTTGAAATAAACATATAAGTAAAAAAGAAATGGGCATACAGTTTGAATGCTTTAATGGATAATTTACTAAAAGCTGTATATTTTCACTATTGGTAAAGGTAAAAAAAAAAAAATAATAGAGATAAAATAATGTTTTCCTTGCATTTTACTTTGTCTTCTTCAGAGAATAAACAGACATATTTGGCAGAAATAATCCTAGTTATCTAGTCCAGCAAATTACATTTACAGCTTAGATTAGGGCAGACCTCCTTGTTTGTTTTAGTTAATGTCAGTCAGTTAATGTCAGTTTGTGGGGGATGGTTGTATTGACTACTGGGCTACAGTCCACAAAAAGCAGAGGCATGTAACCCCTGCTCTAGATCAAATGGTGCAACATGAAGAGGCAAAGTTACTGCTTTCTCAGTGGGTCTATATCAGCCCTGGAGGGCAACAAACCCTTACGAACCTACAGACGTTCTACTCCTGTTCTGTTTAAATCGAGTCCATATTCAAATCTGAAAGTTTTTCTTAAATGTTGCTCTCGGTTATGATCAAAACAAGCTAATAGAAAAGGCCAGCTCTTTCCTCAGCCTTCATCAAATAGTGGGACCACAACAGGTTGTCTCAAATCAGGGGCTAATCATTTCCACATTCATTTAAAACTCCTTTGAAAAAAAAAAACTAAACTGAGTTTGACATCTGAAGACATCTGACATTAAATAACTTATATTCACATGACTTGAAATTTAAAATGTGTTACATTTTTGTATTTTTTGAGGGATCATTTTGAAATTAAGGTGAAAGAAGAGGAAGTATGGCAGCCGTTTTGACATTTATTACCTTTACTGAATATATATTTCAGATGTCTCAAATGCATTTCTTTCTAGTCAAAATGAACATTTAAGATACCGGTATCTAAAATAACATTCTTCCTATCTAAATTATACATTTCAGATAACTGAAATGTAACTCTTACTAGTGAAAATGACATCACATTTCCCATTCATGTGTATTGGGCTTTTACTTCCAGATATCTAAAATAACATTCTTCCTATTTAAAATGTCAAAAGGGCCACTTAATTTTTTTTAGGTATTGGAAAGTTTATTCTTATTAGTACAATTACATTTTTGCTAGCCTGAAAAGTATTTTTTGCTAAGAAAAAATTAATTTAGGATATCTTGTACATTTCTAGGAATAATCTTATTTTGTAGATCATTAAATGTAACTCTAGAGAGGACAGCGCTTCTAGTTATGTCAAAACAGCCTGCCATAAGAAGAGTTATGTGAAACTTGTTACGTCAGTTGCCACACCCACAGACGCAGATACTACGTAGCGTTATTACGCCTGAATAAGCAAACAATTTCAGTGGTTCTAGTTCTCAGACTTAAACAGAAAGAAACCGCGTTTTCATTGATAACTCCGTGATTTTGTTTAATCTACCAAACTCAGGATCTACTGGAACAGCCTGACATCTAAAGACTGCCTACTGGGAGAAAACTGGGATTTCATTATTTTACAGAAACAAGAGAAGCAACAGGAGGTTGGAGCAGGCTAACATGGCGAGCCCCAGCAACTTGCCATCTCCCGAGCAAATGTAATACCTAACAAATCTGGAAACGACAGGGGCGTCTGTTTGGAGGACTTTTACACAGCTTGGTATTACATGGAACACCGGAGCTGACCGGGACTACAACGCCAACGCTGTAGCCGTATGGCGTCCACCCAAGCCCGGTTAGGCCAGCAGGCCTTAGCTTTGCTGGATGTGGCTCTAAGAGTTCCCTGTATTTTCATTATCGACGCCATTTTTAACTCTTACTACGACCAAGGTTCGGGATGGGCCGGGTTCACTGGAAAGGTCCTGGTCAGAGTCATGGGTAAGCCTTTTTTTTTTTTTAAGAGGAAAGCTGCCGACAGAGAGCCAAACGTCAGTGCTAGCAGCTAGCGCTAACACTTAAGCTAGCTTAGCCGGAGCTGCGGTCCAGCGGCACCTGTCAGACAGAATAAAGCCGTCTTAACTAGCAGCAGGAGCACTTACTGGGTGCAAATCTGTTTGATAAACTGCTTAAGTATAATTTAATTTTTGTTATTTGCCGGGCTCCGTCATTAACTCACTCTTGCTCACTAACTACTAGCATAAAATGTAAAAGCACAGGTGTAGTGTCAGTTTTAGTCTCGCCGTTCTGTGGGGAACATTCTGACAGCTTCTCATGATAATGCCTGTCCAAAAAGTCACTTCAAAAAGAAACCCTAGCCTTTGTTGACTAGTGGTTTAATTTTTTATTTATTTTTTTTGGTGGGGGTTACATAGTCTACAATCAGTAGACATTTTTAATGTAGCTTTTACAGCCTAATCTTTGTGGAGTAAACAGACAGATTACATAACTACAGTGTGGAGACCTTTGAACTGTTCAGGACTACAGTAAAAACTTCTTGTTAATTCTTGTCTTCTTGTCAAAACAAGACTTGAGTTCAGTTCTATTGAAAGGTGGCCATCTATTAGGCTAAAAACAGGTTTATAGTGCTTAATCCTTTATAGGATAGGTTACCATTTTTGATCACTTGCAAACCCCTCACAAATGGAGTCCCCCCCCCTCCCTAAGTGAGGTCTACAAGCACAAGATTTATATCCAGCCATTCAGGAAAGATACTGCTACATGGCTGTATGTCTTATTTTGGCATTTGACCAGGTAGATGAGCCCTTGAATGATTTATTACCAACTGTAAATTAATTTGAAAAAAAGTTAACAAGTCAAGAAAGACAAGGTATAAAGTTAACTGAAAAGTTAAAAAATAGGGTTAAAAAGTTAATAAGCCTAGTTAACAATTATATTTAGGTGTATAAACTAAAAAATGTAAGTTCCAGTATCAGCATTAATGCCTCTAAGGTTATGTTGGACCAAATAAAATGTGTTTCTTTCACTTTGAGTGTTTTTTATGAATTTCTTATAGAAGCCCTTTTGTTATTTTTCTTAATATATTCGGTCAAGTTAGCGTTTCTTGTTATTAGATTGACTTACATTTTTGCCATCAAGATATCCCTATTTTTTTATATTTGAAAGGTAATAAGGTCGTGTCCTGGATTCCAATAACACTATTGGCTGGAAATTTGGATTTTTAAAGGATTTCATTGAGTGCCCTATAAAGGGTTAAACTATTGAATCTTTTTGTTCCATATTACCAACAAATATTTATTTTGGTTTCATGTGACTGATTGATACAAAGCAGTGCTTAATTTAAACTTTAAAGATAAATGGTTCCTCCTATATCAGTGCCTCTTATAAGTAATTTTAGGAAGTATGTTTCTGACAATTGGAAAAAAATGTGTTTTCCTCAACTTCTTGCTCCGTCTCACCTTTATGAAAAGATTGTGTCTAAACAACAATATCCATATCTAGTATTTTGGTTTATTTAATTCCGATTTGTGCACATGAATGCAAAAGAGCTACAGATTGACATGCACATTGCTGTGTTTCCTGACAAATTGGAATTTTCCTGTAAACCTGTCCATCGTCCTGCTCACGATGCCTGTGGTACGCTCTCTCTTTCAGGTGTCCTCATCTCCACCGTGGTGCTGCTGCTTTCCCAGAAAGCCTTGTTCAAATTCTACACCCTCTTCCTGGCTGTCCTTCTTGGCTTGGCAGCAGTCCTCATAAACTACTACACCACCTCACACATAGACTTCTACAGTGCGTACTACAAAGCAGCTCTGGGGTTCAGATTGCTGCCTCGAAATGGGACGACGCTGTGGCTCGGCATGGCTGCCGTCCAGCTGATCTTCGGCATTGCATACGTATTCCTGCTCAATCTTCAGTCAGTGTTTGCGGCACTGGTGGTCTTGGACATCATGATTCCTCTATGGGGGATGATGATAGAGCTTCCTGCCGATGTCAGGCATATGACGGCGGTTGTCTCGGGCCTGGCGCTCGCTCTCAACACGGCCGTCTGCCTAGCCATGAGGCTCAAGTCGTTCTACTACTCGTGTCGGTACGTCTACCTGCTGGTGCGGCACATGTACAGGATCTACGGGCTCCGGCTGCTGCTGGAGGACACGTGGAAAAGAATCAGGTTCCCCGATGTCCTGCGAGTATTCTGGCTGACCCGGGTCACCGCCCAGGCGCTCATACTGGTTTATGTTGTGCGAGCGGTGAGGAAGGAGAGTGGTGATGCAGCCGGTGGGGCAGCGGATGGGAGCGCTGATTCACAGGTAAGGAGCACCGTTCAGAACTATGAAGAATGGAATCATTGGAAGAAAAAAAAATCCTAATCTTTACGACTGTATAAAAATCTTCATTACAGAATTTTCTGTGCATTTTCCTGGAAAAATTTCTTACTTTTTGTGTATCTAATGTTTTCAGGGTTACCTGTTCAGCTGGGATGTTTTCTGGGATCTGACAAGCAACCTGATAATTTCTGGATGCGATTCCACCCTGACTGTGTTGGGCATGAGCGCAGTCATCTCTTCCATGGCACACTACCTCGGCCTCAGCATCCTGGCTTTCATAGGTAATGTGTTCTCCCTGTGAATTCAAACGTATGTGATCTACAGGATGAACCATTGTGTGAGAGGTTCCTGGATCTGAGTCTTATCTTTTTTTTTTAATGTCCAGGTTCCACTGAGGAAGAGGACAAGCGGCTTGGCTTCGTGGCTCCTGTTTTGTTCTTTATTTTGGCTCTGCAGACTGGGCTCAGCAGCCTGGATCCAGAGGAACGTTTGGTACGTCCCTGCAGCAGTCATGAACAGTGCTTTTTTTGCATATTTATTTCAGCATTAGTGCAGCATGTAAAAAGCATTCCTAAATTATTAACAATTGGTTTTCTTTTTCTTAAAACATTGGCATGGTAACGGCACACTGAGACGTTAGTTTTATTTGAATCCTGCACATAGGGTGTGGTGTAGCTGTAAAACAAGGGCCTTAAACACAGGCTATTCATCCTGAACCCAGCCGGTTTGGGCTGGACTCTCAACCTTTCACCTTCGCTGTCTTAACAGTTAAGGTCACTTCTCGTAAAAATGGACACAGCTAGCTGAATGTCCCGATATTCAGTTCATTTTAGTAACTTTTTATTAACAGAGCCTTTTAGAGGAACTTTTCCAACATTTTGCCAACTTAAATGTTTATATGTTAGGCTAAAATAAGGTGGTGCATTTATTTTAAAATGAAATATAAATAATACTTTTTTAAATTATTAATTTTATTTATATTCTAAGTGCTTTATAGTGCAAATATTTTGGCAGTATGTCTCTACTAGCTTAGCACACGCCTTAAAGAATAGCAAAGTAGCTCAAGATCAGTCAGATTGTGCAGAGAGCGAGATGTCCTCCTCAGATTAAGGCTGAATACAGATTTAAATCTGTACTTGAACTGGTCCTTTTAACACACATCTAAAATATTTCAATCTTGGAGCGATCGCTATATTAAACTTTCTGACTCGATGTGGAAAATATTCAATACTTGATACCATGAGGTCTTAAATAAAAGATAAATAAGGGCAAAAAATATCTTTATCAACATGAAAAAAATGACCTTTTTAAATCTGAACATGGTAAATCCTTTCTCAACAGGAACACAGATGCTGGTTGAATAAGTGTATAAATCAATACAAACTAAACATTCTAAATATAATCCACTTTGATAATATTTAGAATTGTTTGATTTATTGTTCTTTTGATGCGCAAATAATCCATAAATGTGAAATATAATCCCAGCAAACATATGCAAACAATGCTGGACTTTAGTATCAGTACCGTTTCACATAGTGTTTGAGTGTTTATATACTTTATGGAGCTTCGGTATATTTGACAACCCTTTCAGCTCTTGTAAGGAGAAGCTCCTATCAGGTCAAGTCTTCTTCAGCCTCTAACAGCCTTGCTAAGATTCATCCGCCCTCTATCAGCTCTGGCAGACTGTGGTGTCTCTGCTGCAGAAAAAAAAGATGACTCAAGCATAGTGCTGCGATGTGATGGTGTTTGTTTGTAGTATTAGCCTCCTGCCAGACTCATTGTTTTGTTCCCAGGGCAACAGGTTTAAGTTCTTTCTCTTTACATATCATTCTTTTCCCAGATAAAAGTGGAAACAAGACTTGTAGTTTCTTTCAACGAAGGTTGTCTTTCACCCGCTCTCTTCCGTAAAGTCCAGGTTATCCCTTTATAGGGCAGGTTAACATTTTTGATCACTTGTATACAAATGGAGTTATTATTAATTAATACCTTAAAGGTTATGTTATGTTGAGTGTTTCTTTCACTGAGTGTTTCATGAATTTCTTATAGAAGAAATGTTGTTATTGTTCTTAATATATTCAGGCAAGTTGGCTTTTATTCTTATTACATTGATATCAATTTTTGCTATCAAAATGTTCATATTTTTTTAAAGGTTACAAAGGTAATAAGATGTGTCTTGGATTCCAATAACACTATTGGCTTGAAATTTTGATTTTCAAATGATTTCACTGAGAGCCCTATAAAGGATTATTTGAGTACGCAATAGATTTGCTTTTCTTCCTAAAGATTGTTTCCTCCTGCCGCAGAGTTTCTGAAGGCCTCTTGACTGCTTCTCTGAAATCTTTCTCCTAACCTGCTTCCTCGGTTTAGGTGGACAATCATATCTTAATAGGTTGCGGTTGTGCTGTAATTGTTCCAGTTTTAAATGATGGATTGAATTAGATGAGAATAAAGCTTGTTGTAAAGATTGTTGTACAACCTAACCCTGCTCTAAATGTTATCCTGCTGTGTGGCCTGGCGCTCAGGTAGCTGTTTGTTTTTGGTTGAAATCATAGTAAATTTAAACAATGCAATCAGATATATTTTTACCACTTGACATCAAATGAACAATCAATTTTACCCTCTTCTATTATAAAATGCTTTATACAGACTGTATGTCATTGGATGGGATTTTGTTTTCTGTTTAAAAAAAGGGAAATGACTTGATCAGATTCCTTTAACTGAAATGAGTTGGACTGATGTATTGCTTTAAAATGGTTCTTGTTATAAATCAACAGAGAACAGGCAGTATAGAGGCTTAATGATGTAGGAAATATCAGAACTCCAACTGTTCACAGCAAAGAAATAAACAATTATACATTGTCAAAAGTAATAAAGATGAATTTGTGTAGTTCAGGAGGCGCCATGTTTAATATTCAGCATGGCTTCATCTGAACCAAAATCAGCAGCTGGTCCTTCAGAGCCGTTGAGGAGGAAGTTGTTTCTCTCACCCAAGGGTCTGATATTTAAAGTCTAAATTATTGATGTCATTGAATAAACGTCTGGCGCCACTGTTTTGTCGCGATTCTTAAATTGTAGACTTTACAAGTGGCCTTTGGACTGTTCCTTTGTAAGATAAAAAACGTATGTGTTGGTGAGAGAATGTCTGTCTCTTTCTAACAAAGGTCCGCCTGAGCCGAAACATGTGCCTTCTACTGACGGCCATCCTGCACTTTATCCACGGCATGACCGACCCCGTCCTGATGTCTCTCAGCGCATCCCACGTCTCCTCCTTTCGCCGCCATTTCCCCGTGCTGCTGGTGTCGGTGGCCCTCTTCGTGCTCCCCGTGGTGCTCAGCTTCGCCCTCTGGCATCACTACGCCTTCAACACGTGGCTCTTCGCTGTCACGGCCTTTTGTGTAGAGCTCTGTCTCAAGGTGAGTTTCAAACTTTTAGCGTCGTTTCTACTTGAAATGATGTATGATTATTTTACAGTGTCTTTAAAGTTTCACATGCACTTTGAACTTTGTGCCACATTGCTGCTACAAAATTCATTTTTATGGGGATTTAATTGAATAATAAAATCAATGGGGCATTACATTGGGATGTATAAATGAAGGGTTTTTTAATTTATTTTAATTTTTTTTACAAAAACGGCAAAAAATAAACAGATTCATACAAATTCCCTCTATGTTTAATAACCTCAGTTTAAGTTCAGCTTCAAAGTTTGTTTACGTTGGTGAAAATCATTTACAGAGACCAAGAAAGATTGATCTGCATTAAGGCTGGTTTATGCTCAGACACCAGGTTATCTGTGTGTGTCATAGTTAATGCAGATATGCCCCGCCCCTTCTGCAGACACTCTGCTGCACCTCTCCAAAATTGTAGGTGACCGCAAACAGGAGACATCTGATTGGTCAAATTTACGTCCGCTCTACATTATGCGTATTTCCTGTTTGGTGCCTTACTGGCTTGTTTTGTTTGTATGACCGCCATTGTGGAAAACAACCCGTGAAGATGGACCAGCTTGAAGAGCGAGAGCGTAGAACGCTGGGACCCTTTTTCCACCTGGATCCCTGCTCTTTTTTTGCCTTCATGTCCCTTCATTGTTGCACAAACTTACTCCTTGCATTTTTCAACTTCCTCACACTAGAAAAACTTGAAATCTATACAAGTCATTTTCTTCTTCAAATGAGTGCATTTGTTCTTGGATTGATGAGGTAAAAGAGACATTTTGCCAATGGAACAAGACGATTTACATTTAAAATAAGAACAATTGCATTGTCTTATTTCAAGTGCATATTGTCTAATTATCTTATTTTAAGAGTAAAACTATTGATTCCATTGGCAAACTACCTTTTATACCAACTAGAATTAAGGGTAAATACACTTAATTTAAGAAATATTTACTTATTTCTAGATCATTTTTCCATTGCACCGCCTCGGCCGTATCTAGACCCACAGCTAGTTTGTCATTGTGCCTCTGGCGTTGTGTAACATAGTGCAGACCACGCTTCAATATTGGGCTTAAATAAAAAAAAAATATCTGTGTTATAAGGCGACAATTTCACTGCGACACACTGCTGCGGAAGCATAACCACCATTTTAGAGCTGTCGAGAAGTTTGAGGCAGTTTTAACACATGGCCATGCTTAAAACTGGACTGTTTACCTGAAGCTCCTGGAGTCTGTGTAATTCTTTGTCCTTAAAGCTGTGGAGCTGCTGTAAAGGTTCATCAGCTGAGCCTGTTTGCTCCTGTGCTGCAGGAACCATCGATGCTGACAGATCTGACACTTCTCCTCTTTTCGTTTCAGGTCGTGGTGTCCCTGACCGTCTACGGTCTCTTCATGGTGGACGGATTCTCCAACGTCCTCTGGGAGAAGCTGGACGATTACGTCTACTACGTGCGCTCCTCCGGAAACATCATAGAGTTCCTGTTCGGGGTCATCATGTTCGGAAACGGCGCCTACACCATGATGTTCGAGTCGGGCAGCAAGATCCGAGCCTGCATGATGTGCCTGCACGCCTATTTCAACATCTACCTTCAGGCCAAGAACGGTTGGAAGACCTTCATCAACCGCCGCACCGCGGTTAAGAAGATCAACTCCCTGCCGGAGGTCCGAGGGGACCAGCTGAGGGACATTGAAGACGTGTGCGCCATCTGTTACCAGGACTTCGCCAACTCGGCGCGCCTCACGCCATGCCACCACTACTTCCATGCACTGTGCCTGAGGAAGTGGCTGTACATCCAGGACACGTGCCCAATGTGCCACCAGCGGGTTTACGTCGAGGAAGACGGCCGAGACAGAGCCGCCTTCTCCAACAACAACGGGGGCTATGCAGCGCCGCAGGACGCCGCTGCCGCCGGCCCACCAGCGCAGCCTGACAACCAGCAGGGACAACCGGTTGCAGACCTGCTGCCAAACGGAGCGGCAGGCGGTGCGCACGCTGCGGGAGAGCCGCCCCGGCTCGACGACCTGGTAGAGGACAATGACAGCATAGAGTATGACGAAGACGAGTGGGGGACTCGCACGCCTGTAGAAGAAGAATATATGAACGACGACACAGACTCTACAGACGACTGAGAGGATCTATAGAAAATGACACAGATATATCTTTATTATATTTAAGTTAAAAAGAACTACTAAAAACACTTAATTTGTTCTCGGAAAAATGTCAGGGATCTCAGTCTGATTCTCCTTAGTTTCTTTTTGAGTTTTACTCTCTAAGGGCTTGTGGAAAGAATAATAGCTGCTCTCATTCTGTGTGTGTGTCGAGTGGATGTGTGTGCAAGATGTAGACCAAAAAGATCCACAATATTTTATTTAAATTGAACAAAAAGTTATTTAAAAACAAAGTTTCCCATGATGGCATAGCTTTTCTTGAAGGGAATTTCTCATCATCCTGGCTTAGTTATCAAAATTCATCTTTAAAGGCCTCCATGAAAACGGTGTTATGATGACGTCTCTGTGCCGACGATTAACGTTTCATAAAAATGTCGATCATGCTTCCTTGTAATTTGCAGAAAATGCTGGATGGTATAAATGTTCAATTTTTTTTTAATGACTAATCACATTCAATTCTTAAGTTTATTAGTTTTTCGATCCTTTTTTTGTCATCTCATAAATCTGAATCATTGATAACCCTGCTGTTTTCCGCTTTGCCAAAAATATTTGGTTTTCAATCAAAAGTATCTGATTTAACATGCTAAGTGTTTTTTGTTTTGTTTTTATTTAGAGCTACAGAAACTTCTAACCACATCTCTTCTCTCCTCATAGTCCAACATTTATATCAAGATCAGCTCAGATTATGGTTAAACTCAGTATTTTTGGCCTTTTTATTTATTCATGCAAGTGAAAGCCTTGTGAGACGGCCCAGTGCGAGGGCTCGCACTGATGGGAAAACTGAGGCGTGTCTGATTAATTAAAGAATAATTTACTACTGTCGTCCCTGATATACCTCCCATTGCTAACTACTGGTCTCTTCTGTGACCTCGCTTACTGTGTACGTTGTCGTACATATAATGAAACCTGTTCACATTTTAATATGAGAGGTTTCAGGTGATTTGTTAATATTTACACATTTTTCTGCAGTTGTTCAATTTGGTTAAATGCTTGTTTCAGGTGAGGAAAGACTACTGGTTCTACAAATTAAAAATCATACTTATGGTAAAATTGCCAACTGAACTTTTTGAATTACTTGAAAGGGAAAAAGTATTTTTTATATATATATATCAGGTAAAATATTTTTTTTTTCTCCAGATGGCTCTATCAGTCTTGAAACACTTGTTTCTAAGTAGCATCACTTCTCAATGTGTCCCTTGTGCAATATGGCTAAAGCGGAAAGCTTATTGTCTCATGTCCTGGGTCTTAAACCTCCGAATATAACTCGAATCCTTCTACATGGGACCTGATCAAGTCTGGGGAATGCAATGAAAGGTGATTCATATATGAAGCATTTTGATTAGTCGTTTAAAATCAAAGCTTTTTGAAAGGCTTTTCGGTTTGCCTTTTGTTTTGAAAAGACTGTGTAAATAAAAATGTATTTGATATTTCATTTTGAACACTGTATTTATTTCAATGTAGTCTGGATTTCAATTATTTAATGTTTAGTTAACCTTTAAAAATTGACCGTGATGATTCAGTTAGCCGCTAGAGGGTGCTGTTCTCCATAATGCTGAGTAAGAAAAGAATAGAAATCCCTTTTATTGTCACAGAAGGAGAAAATTCAGTTTTTTACAGCAGCAAAAACAGAAAAAATTATTACACAAACGTGAACCTTAGAAAAATGTATAAAAAACTAAAAAAAACTAGTGAAGAGTTAAAAGATAAAATAGTGTAAAGTGTTTTAAATGCTATTATAAATACTGTGCAGATGGAGAATAAAAACCAATATACAGCTATGGACATTTTTACAGTAATGGATATTTGGCAAAAATGACATCAGCATGTTATTTAACTGACGTAGGTAGAAACTGCAAAATCAGCATGAATGTAAAAATGTATTGAGGTTGTTGGGAACAGTGGTGGTTATAAAGTCTTCCAGCTGCTGGGAGGAAGGATCTGTGATAACACTCCCTATTGCATTTAGGGTGCAGCAGTCTGTCACTGAAGGAGGGTTAGAAGAATTTAATGCTTAATTTGAATTTTAACACTTCTTAGATGTTCATCCAACTAATGATGGAATTCTTGACAGAAATAAATATAAAACAGTCTCTTTTCATAAAGAGTAGAAGGATTGGTTCTGTAAAGTTATGGTAGGAACCAAAGAAAACCTTTAATGCTTTCCTAAAATTAAATAGAGAAAATGTTATCTATGTGATGCTAATGCAATGACTTATTGTTTTTTTTTTTGTTTTTTTTGCATTTTGTAGATTCTGATTTACAATATCAATCCTTTTATCATGATTTGTCAGTTAAACTAATCAAATAATTTATTAATCCAGTGGTTACCTAGAGTAATGGCACACAGACTCTAAACTTACCATTTGCTAAAGTATGACCTACTTACAACAGAATGTTTATATGTTTATAAAGTTGCTAGAAATGGGGAAAAAAGACATCAGAGTTGCATAATTATCAAATAAATGCTGTTGAATTAACAGTAGAGAAGATAAAATATGATGCATAGTGACCAGTGTGAAAAAAAAAATCCAAATGCACCGTATAAAGGGAGACCGAAGACAGTTGCAACATTTTTTGCAATTGACTCTGTTATTTAAAGAACATTTGGATTTGACAGACCAGATGTTTATGTAATATACTCCGTTTATAGTCAAAAACATTTTAGAGTTCATTAAAGAAAGTTAATTCTTCCTTTTTTAATCTGAATGCAAAAAGTCAAGTGTTGCAACTCAACCCAGACCTATAGAGGCTGCTGACCTCTAAACTGATATCCAATCCGCTAGGGTTTAAATTACATATGAATTCGGTCAATTATCAGTACATGCAAATTTTACCTTACAGAAAACTGGGCTTTCAAAGCCATTAGGGATAAATGTAGCTCTATGATAGATTTAACTATAAAACTGTCACAAACACCCAATAATCACATACATATTTGACAAATATAGTGGCGTCATTGGCAGTTTTTTTCATATATATTTCTATAATTAGACTAGTCACTCTATCCTCCTTTAAATGGTTGTAAAAGGCAAGAGCACAGACACATGCGCATACGTCTGTGTTCATACCTCATGTGGGGGCCAATAAATGGCTAGCAGTGGTCTTTCATCCAGGCTTCTAATTTATTCATTGACGATTCTTTTGATTCTGATTCTATAATTCTGTATAGGTGTGACATTTACAGAAGAGGATTAGGGCCACTGAAAAAAATCAAAGAAGTTAACAGATTTTTACATTTTATTTCAGTTTAATATTGGAAAAAAGACTTTTTTTCTCAGATTTCTTATTTTTTCTCAGAATTCTGACTTTTCTTAAAATTTTGACTCTAATCTCAGAATTTTGACTTTTTCTCAGAATTTTGACTTTAATCTCAGAATTTTGACTTTTTTTCTCAGAATTCTGATTTTTTTTCTCAGGATTCTGACGTTTCTCAGAATTCTGCCTTTTTTTCTCAGAATTCTGACTTTAATCTCAGAATTCTCAGTTTTTTCTCAGAATTCTGACTTTAATCTAAGAATTCTGACTTTTTTCTCAGAATTCTGACTTTTCTCAAAATTTTGACTTTAATCTCAGAATTTTGACTTTTTTTCTCAGAATTCTGACTTTTTCCTCATTTTAAACTGAAATAAATTTTAAAAATCAGTTAATTTTTTTCCTTTTTTCAGTGGCCCTAATCCTCTTCCATATAAATTAAACCTCTTGCATTGCAGTCATTTACCATTTCGGTTAAATACTGTGGACAGAGTGACATGTTAATTATTTCACGGGGGTACTCAGTTTTCTGCAGCTCCGCCCCTGTGTGTGTGTGTTTTAATTATCTGTAGAGCTGAACTAATGACACTATTTAATTAACCATACTCTGAAAGGATTGATCGGAAGCATAGCTTTATTTTGAAAGTCCGGATCAGCAGCTTCCGGTGATCCTCCTGACTTGACTCTCCTGTACTTCCAGTTCTTCTGTTGCGGCTTCAACTTCATTCATGTGTCAAACTCCGGAGCACCGAATCCTCAGAGATCATGAGGTTAGGGCGAGGGAAAGCGACAAGAGAGACCATGTCCGTCTTCCTAACGTGTAGTTCTGCTTTTACATCTTTCAAAAGTCGTCGATTCATTCTTTAGTTGACGTCGAATGAGGCTAGTAGGAGCGACCGACAAGCAACTTTATTAAGCCCCAGCGGTAGTCGTTCGTGGAGCGGAGAGTCGCCTTCGTGCCCCACCGTTCGAAAAACCCTCCAATGAAATAGCTTTTATAGACCGACTTAGTTATGTTTACAGGGTCCATGTTTAAGGTTTGCCTACGGAAGGCTCTCTGGCCGGCGGTACAGAAGTTACCGTCGGGGTTGAAGCAGTCTCCAGCGGCGGCGGTGGAAGCGCTGTTACTCCCGGGGACAGCGCGACATGTACCGAGCTGCTGGATGGGAACACATGGGAGAAACGAACCGAGGGAGACGCTCAACTGTCCCACCAGGGCCAAAGAGTTCATTTATCGCCTACACCCGAGTGAGAGGACGTGCTTACTGAAGGAGCTGCAGATCTTCGAGTCCAAAGCCATCGCTCAAGGTAAGAACCGAGCAGCCCGGGTTAAAGGTGGCAGCTCCATTACACACTGAGATTTAATGGGAGGGCAGGGATTATTACCTGGAATAGCGCCAGGAGTTATACCACTCCCATCTGACTCACATTAAAAGCTGCGGTTTATGCTTTGTGACACTGAAGGATGCAAACTTTATGCGTTGTTATTAAACTCTCCTCCCTTCTTAGACTGTTTTATTAAAGCTACAGTTTTTATTTATAAATATTTGATTGAAATTCAACTAGGGTTGTCACGATACTAAGATTTCAAACTCAAGATTGATACTCAAGAAAAATATCAGATAATCGATATGATTTTCCATACCAGGGAATAAAATTGACAAATAATTATAGCTATTTATTGAAATGAAAAAACTTAATATCATCATGGAGTTTTCTTATCATCAGAATATCAGATTATGTCAGTTGAATAAACATAGAAATATATATATATATATATATATATATATATATATATATATATATATATATGTACACATGTACACATCACACAAGTCTGCTACAGGATCATACTGTCTTGTAAAAAGACAAAGAAGAAGGTTGGAAGTAGACATTTTTACATTCCTGAAGAGTCTGAGAAGTTTTTTTTTCATGAGTGAAATAACTTTGTATATATCTCAGATAATTTTTAACATCCACTGCTGCTGTGTTGTTTTGGAGAGTTAAACATATTTACATGCAATCTTGAATTGAACTTGAATTTAATGGAAATACCTGGAAAAATTTGCCTTTTCAAAATTAGCAGAATATTGACATGGTTCTCTACATATTTGTTATGAAACATGAACCCCCCCTGTTAATTTCTACATCAAAATAGACATTGGTTGTTAATATCGGCCCAGTTTTACTTATTCGGCCGATACTGATATCCTTAAAAATGACAAATATTGGCCAATAACGATATTAAGGTTGATATATTATGCATCCTTAAAATAAATAACCCAACTCTAACACAATTTAACAGTATTTAAAGGTTGCTTGAGGAATACTTCAATCTGCAAATAATCCAAAAGTCTAAACACTACTTGTACTAATTGATACAATTGCAAATTAGTGTTGTAAATGGATACAGTTTTGAGTATCAATGCTTTTGACAATCCTAAATTCGACTCATTATCGAGACAAAGAATAAAGTCTGAGGCTGCAAAAGAAGTAGTAAACAAGCCCTGATGTCAATGTGATAACATCAGGGTGGTTTACTGTGGGACTGGCTCCCGTTTCAGTGCATTATCTTTAATAGTAAAAGCAGCAGGGTTGGTTTAGTCAGAAAAAAAACAGTAACCCATCAGGTATTAAACAGCAAATGTTGCACTCTGGGCTAACTGTAATTAGGAGTAACACCAGCAGAAGAAGAATGTCAGTGAGTGGATTGATATTAAATGAATGTAAACAGCTTAATATCGTTTACTGAATATGCTTCCACAAATCAAGAGGTTAGATATTTAGGACCAGAAGAGCCGAAATATCGTGAATAATTTATTTCAGTATCAAAGTTAAACTGCAGATCTTTTTTTTCTTTTTAAAACATGTCAACAGTTTAACAGATAATTAAATAATTTCAATAAAAAATCTTTGTTTTGATGGAATGAAAGCATTATATCTCTATCTTCACATTAACACCTCTCGTAGATTTAGTTTTGAAATAAACTTTTAATATTTATTTTTATATTTCTTCTTACTGGAGCTGAGAAACAAAGAAGTTTGATGGCAAGAAAGCCTCCTAAGCTCAAAGATTTAAATCGGGGATGTTTCTCTGCTCCAGCGAACCTGATTGCATTACCTCCTACTATAAGCAGCCATCATGCGCAGCAGAGGCCTGTTTATCAGCCATTTATGTCAGGAGTGGAGGCAGGGAAAAATTTAATCATGCAGGACATTGGGATCCTGATGATGAGGGTTGAACAGCGATTATTAAAAGGTTAATTCAAATTTTAAGTGGTCAAAATACAAGTATTTATCAGTTTTTTGCTTTTAAAAAAAGAATAAATTTCTTTGCTCAAATTTAAAACCTGTGTTATATTGATACCCATCCCATTTCCTGACCGATAATTTTTAATCTTGCAATCTGTAACTGCCCATGTCCCACTAATTATATTGAATCCTCCTTATACTGAATCCTCCTACTGACAGATAAATGCATACTGTGCTTAAGCACAACCTTAAAAAATATACAGATTGTAAAAATTAAAATTATGTTTGAATAAAAAAAAGCATAATAATTTAATTATATGTATGTAATAGCTTAACAATTGTTTATTGAATAGTGGTCCCTTTATGGAGGCTGTAATCTTACACCTTATTGTCTAAGTCAGTTATTCTCAACCTTTTTATGTCATGACCCCCAATTTAACATTCACTATTGTCAATGACCCCTCATATCCCGATAAATATAATCATAAATCTCATTTACATAATATCACAAGCACTTATGAACTCACTTCAACATTCAGTTTGTTTCATTTTACTTTGAAACACACCAGGATGTTTTTTTTTCCAAAGATCAAGCATCAACTTTCTGAACAGACCTACAATGGTTGCTACATCTTATCATTTTGCTGTTAAAATGTAAGAAAAACCAAAAAAAAACAAACGTAAACTTTATTTTTTTATTACGGTAATCAAATAAAACTGTAACAGCATGTTTTATGCTTTAATCAAAACAGTAGAAAACAGCCCATGTTTAATTTTAAACATCTATGTTTTTGAAAGCTTAGAAACGGCCACGCAGAGATGACTCTCAACTCTGAGGAGTCCTGATCTGCATTTGTTTCTTGTGTGTGTTAGCGCAGAAAAGGTCTTTTTGGACAGATATGCATTGAAGCCTATTTTTGTGAAGCCTATTTACAACAGACAGTAAGACAGCAGACAGGTTTTGAGTAATAAAAGGCCTCTTATAGACCAACTGTTAAACGTCCTAATGTCCGGTCTAAAGTTTCATTAATATTGCACATTTACATTTTTCCCAAATGATTTGGCAACCCCCAGAAATCATCTCGCGACCCTGATCGGGGTCATGACCGCAAGGTTGAGAATGTCTGGTCCAAGTAATTTATGGCTAACCTACCATGTTTCACGCCAAATTACACAACATTTTTCAGGTTTTGCAGGCCGTCTTGGTTGTTCTTCTCCGTCCAAGATCAGTGCCAAGCTATGCTTAGCTCTCCCTCTTTCTGTCTCTTTGCTTAAATTGCTTTATAAGGAACAAGCGACGGAAGGTGGTTCTCATCACCTCTTGTTTTTGAACATGAACATGTTCACTTTATTTCACCCTGATGATCTGACTGTTTATTCTGTCACAACTTGTGCTCTATTCTAATATTGTGGTTTGTTGGTAGAAAGATAATTTTGTAAAGTCATTGCTGGTTTCTGTTGGTCCTAAGACAGTTGGTCACGAGACTGAGTGACTCATGTAGAAAACACTACCACCAGTCTCTGAATCAGAAGTAACAGGATCCAAAAATCATTTATTTTCTGGGGCGGGTCTGTATATGTTAGCGTATTTGGTGTGGGTTAAATCCGCTCTGTTGGCCAGAAAGCTGAGACTCAGTTTTACATTTGTCAAATCTATAAGTTACGAGAATCTGAAATGAAGTTTACAGTTTTTCTTTGGCTTAAATTGTTGGTTCGGTTTCCTTGTGTCTGCTGTATCCTCTGACAAACATCTCACCAATTATTCCTTATAAAACTGCATTCATTACAGAAGCATTTTTAAAGATACGGTTGTACACCCTGGCTGTCTTTATTTCTTTAGATTTGCATAACACAGCTCATTATTACTGTGCACCCAGGCTGCTCATTAAGGCTCTTTTTAAAATTATTTTTTTCAATGCAAACGCTTTTAAAAGCTGCCAATTTATAAGGATATATATATTTTATCATTTTTTTTAATACTATAAAGAACAGAGGAAGAAATACATTTGCATGCTTTGTCTGAGTGACGTCCTTAATTACCTGAGACCCAGCTTCATGTTCTGTTCTCGCTTTATTGTTTTCAGGGCTCAATCTCCTTTCCAGACTGAAAGGACATAATCTGCACAGCATGATCTCAGCTTCAACTGGGAGTCTTTTTGATTCAAGCGAGCTGGAGCAGTGCCTCACCTCGCGCCTCTAGTCTCCCCCCGTAGTTAATTAATCCACCGCCACAGTTGTTTTTCTAAGGAGAGTTTGTACCACTATTGTACCACTTTTGGCTGAACCTTGTGTTGCTTTAGGGTTGCAACTAAAGACTAATTTGCTAATCAGTTTTTTCTTTTAATTGATTAATAATCAGCTCACAAAGGAGGCCTAATAATAGAATTTTTACAGTCTTTGAACCAGATAAAATTAAAATTGCACCAGTTGAGTTCTGAGTAGAGCATATTTACTGATAAAGTTTTTCATTTTAAATTATCATTTTAAATGCTAACCATATGTGTATATTTGTAAGGTTTTGGCTTAATTTCTGCTATATGTTGGTTTGAGAAAAAGGGAATTTATAGTCTCTACAGTCCATTTAAGGGTTATGCCATTTACTAAATCAGTTGTCGGTTTTTTCCCCACATAGTGTCTTTAAATAACAATAAAAGAAAGTAAACAACTTCATTTTAATTGGGGCATTAATGATGCAATATTTATCTCTGCTCTTTTGAGTCTCCGAGAGTTCACACAAAAGGTCACAGTATTTTGGCCTTTTATGATTTGTAAAGCAGTGAATGTCAGCCCGGCTGCAGGGAGCCTTTAGGGACGGTTTGACTCAAAAACAGTAGCTAATCTCCTCTGAGAAGAAACTGTTAAAATTATTATGGCCTTCTATTTCACAGGCTCGGAGGGTGTGTGTCCTTTCGACTTCTCCTTTAGTCAGAGATCACCGCCACTCACACACAGACTTGTCAGTGTTTAAGCTATGTGCCCTTTCCCAACACAGCTGGTTTTAAAACTCAACTCCTCTCTGTCAAAGACGTGGATTTAGCCCACCATACCACTGAGGG